TTTTTCTTGCTTCTCACACCCTCAAGCTTCCTCCTGTCTTCTCCCCCAGGCGTGGAGCCACGGCGTGAGAACTTACCATATATATATATATATATTGTAAAGGCTTTCCTTCGTTCATTAAGCACCTAGTCCATATTGTTGTTGTCAAGTGCCGTCGAATCGAGTAGATTCCGACTCATAGCGTTTAGGGTTTCCAAGGAGCAGCTGGTGAGCTTGAACGGCCGACCTTGCAGTTCAAACGGCTTTGCAGACCGGCGCATTAACCCACAGCGCTACACCAGGACTCCCAGGTATTATTTTCCCTCCTGAGCATGCAAAAATGAAACGGATTCTTCTCTAGAAGAGGTTGTGGGAGAGACCGAATGCCAATGCCAGTGTAAATAAATGCCATATGACAAGTGCTGTCAATGCCTTGTTGACTGGTTTATCCCCAGCATTTAGAGGATACTAGGGACTTAGCATGAAAAAGTGAATGAGTGAATGTCTTAATGTGATGTGCACAGGGTGCCTTGCAACTCAGGCGGATTCCTTGAGCCAGACTGGGAGAGGGCACGTTGGGAAAACTTCCTGGAAGGAGTATCATCAGAGCGGAGACGTGAATGAGATAGAATCTGACACTAGGTAGCTTTGTCCCAGTTTTTTTTTTTTTTCCCCTCCAGAAATAGATTTCCCTATAAACCAGCAGCAGATTGGAAGCAGAGTCTCCTCTCCACTTACTGGTTATTCCCCCCTCTCCCCTCCTCCCCTTCACCATTGGCTCCCTTTGTCTGAGGTGCACTCCAGGTGTGTTATTCCTTTTTCCATTGGGGACAGGTGTCTAGCCTCCTGGTTTTTGTTTTTTTTTTTTCCTTCCCTTGCCTGAGTGCATCCCCCAGGGAAAGGTTGGCACAACTCTTGGTGGAGCTGTTTTGCCAAGAGAGCCATAGGCTGTTTTGAATTTATTCTTAAGAAATATAAATAACTAAATGAAAAAATATATTTCTGTTTACTCGGTGCAAATTTATTTTACTTTTTTACTGTGAATAAAAGTTGGAAGTAAAAATCTACCTTTTCTTCCATGACCAAAATTCTATTCGCTTAAACTAAATTTAAATAAAAAAAAAACTTTCTCCAGCAAATGTTTTAAAACACATTATCTATCAAGTTTTTTCCATTTCTATAATGTAAACATTGATTATTTGACCAAATAATAATTTTAGGATAATGTTACTTTCCCCCATAAGAGACAATATACATTCTTCAGAAGTTATTAGGTATCTTTCTTTTGAAGTTATCAGAATCTGAAAAGTATAGCGACGTTCCCTTTGTTGTTGTTAAGTGCTGTAGGGTCGGTTCTGACCCATAGCGATCCTGTGTAGGGTTTCTGAGGAGTGGCTGGTGAATGTGAACTGCTGCCCTTGCAGTTCAAATGACTTTGCAGCCCAGCGCATTAACCCACAGTGCCACACCAGGACTCCAAAGTTCCCTTCGGCCAACTGAAACCAAGAACCCTAAAAGAAGGCATAACAACTTTGATCATACTTTATGTACCAGATGTATTGTTCACGCACAGAGTCAAATGTGTAACATCTGTAAATGTGCTAAACAAACCTAAGATTTCAGCATTGTTGGTAACACTGAATGTCCATTTTGTACAATTATAGTTTAATTTTGAGAGCTGTGATAGACAGAATAGTTGGTTTGTTATGTGCCGTC